ACATGATTGGTTATTACGGAATGCATGTATCCTACATGGTACTGTATGAGCTCCTTGATGCTGTTCTCTTTAAATAGGCAAATGACTAACTGATGAATAACTTGTACTGCACTTTCAATGTGAATTGTCCATGTGATTTGTGCAAAAAATGTGTAGCGTGATCCATGAACATTTTCACAAATACCCATGACTGCCTGAATGTTCTCAAACCATGGATATGACCTCACAAACAACTGCAAATTGGACTTGCTGCTTGTATTCATTAATCAATCTTAGTATTATTCAATTGCCTTTATCACTTAGCACAATGCTGAAACAGTGGATCAGCTCAAACTCCAAAGGAAAAGTGCCATCTAACTGAGTTATCAAAACAAACTCTTGCAACCTCTTGGTTCTTCTTTAGTGCCCCATCCAATTACTGATCATACCTAACCCTGCTTAACTTGTGTGCTTTAATGGGATCACAGCTGGCAGTGGTATAGCTGAGTGCCATGTTCCTTCATTGAGTATTCATTTAATTGTTTTCTGGTATGAAGCACAAAGTGGTGCCAGGACAAAAATCTATGTGCTGAATCTTGAACTTCTTTTTTTTTTTTGCTGTTTTTGCTCAGAGAACTTCCCCAGGTAAATGGAAATTTAAAGTTTTTAAGACAAATAAACTTGGTCCAGGAGGAACCTTCTTCCCTCCACTTTAAGAAATTCATTAAGAAACTTACAAAAGAACCAGTTTGCACAAAATCCTCTGTGGGATTTGAGGTGGAGCTGCATAACCCTCAGCGTGCATGAGGAGAGATTGCTCTCTATGGCCTAGCAGCTCTGCTCCATGGCCACTGCAACATAGCCCCGTCCCCAACCTGCTCCCTGCTAGCAGTACTGCTATTGTAACTGGCCTTTTTGTGAACTGTGCAAAGAGTTGAGGATATTGTCGGGGTGGCTTTTTGTGCATCCCTGGTTCTAGGTAACTTCTCAAGGGCCTATCACAATTGTGCAAACCTGTGTGGGTGAAAAGGTGACAAACCAAAGAGGAATAAGAAATGAGCTTCTTCCTCAGAAGATGATGGATGAATTCCACTCTACATTATGGTTTACAGGTCAGCTTTGATTTCTTTTTTTAAATCAGTAAATGTCAATTTTTCACCCTACGCACACAAACCAACAAAAATCCATTGATAACAAACTTATAAGTAGGCAAAGTAAGAAAAATGCTGCTTGAGAATTTATTAGTTTGAATTAAGGCTATTTACTTTGTGTATCTGTACATGTGATGTTGACAATTTGTGTTAATGATTATAAAGCTTTAACTCTTTGAATCTCAATGTCTGTTGTCAATAAATAATCAGTGGGACCCCCCATTGATCCCTTTATTGCAACTGTGACAAATTGATTAAAAATGTTTAACTCATAATTTTGAACACCTGTGAAAACAAATTGATAACTGAAATAAACATCTATATTATCCATCACTTATATATAATTTAATTCTACCAAGCCTATTTACAGGTAAAAGTGGGGTACTATTAGAAAAGGATTTCAAAGAGATGATGAAAGAGTGTAAGGGATTAAACTGTAACAAACTTTAGGACTAGAGGACATTCATCTAGACCAGGGGTGGGCAAACTACGGCCCGCAGGACCTTCCTGCCTGGCCCCTGAGCTTCTGGCCAGGGAGTCTTGCCCCTGGCCCCTCCCCCGCAGCCATGCCCACCTCCCAGGCTTTCAAATAAGCTGTCCTGCCGCTATGAGCGACCTTGTAAGGGGATGGGTGGGGAGGAGATCCTGGGGGGCAGCTGGATGGGCGGAGGTTCGGGGGGGGCAGTCAGGAGACAGGGAGCAGGGTGGGGGTTGGATGGGGAGTGGGGTCCTGAGGAGGCAGTTAGGAACAGGGGTCCTGGAAGGGGGTGGTCAGGGGACAAGGAGTGGGGGAGGGATGGATGGGTTGTCGGTCCCAGGGGGCCTGTCAGGGAGCGGGGGTGTGGATAGGGGACAGGGAGGGTTGGATGGGTCGGGAGTTCTGAGGGGGGCAATCAGGGGGTGGATAGGGGGCAGGGGCCAAGCTGTTTGGGGAAGCACAGCCTTCCCTACCCGGCCCTCCATACTGTTTTGCAACCCCGATGTGGCCCTCTGGAAAATTTGCCCACCCCGATCTAGACATTTAGAAGGAATTAAAAACAGACAAACAAAACAAAACCCTAAGCATCAGAGCTACTAGCAAAAATATTTAATTGATCCTTTTAAAAGAGCCATGTCCTGGAAGAGACACACATCTTTGAACAGGTGCTAAGACTGATCCCCAAAATTACAGAACATGGACCCTTAGTCCCTTTACCAGGAAAACAGAGAAAACCATTACAGGAAAACTATAAACTGCTAGATGAATACAATATAATAGGGACAAGCTAGTCCAACTCCTTGGAGGACAACTCATATGTCTCTACCTTAAAATACTTTGAAAAAGTTTAATAAAATTGTAGAGACAGAATCACTGGCTATGGTTATCTCTTCAAAAGTCTTTGGACAAGTTATCTGAGGGCTAACTTTCATAGGGTGAAGTCCTGTCATGATCTAAAACTAGTTTGACAGAGGTAAAGTAGGAATAACATTTTGTCTTTTCAGAGTAGAAATGTTTAATAAGCAGCTCCCGAAGAAATCATTATGACTGAATATATTTACAACTCCAAAGAGGGGTCTGAAGTGAAAAAAATTGCTAATGGTACAAAATTAATTATTTGTGTGTGTAAAACAAGGACCAGCTGTAAGAAACTGAAATTACAAGGAAACTACCTAGTGCTATTTCATAACTTAGTAATGTCAGGTAAGTGACAAGGAATTTATGCCCTCCTTTGACACATCTGGAATTAACCACGGTGGGGGAAAAGATAAGTAAACAGATAAACCACCAATCTATTCCTATATAGTAATTTTGCAGTGACTTTTTTTTTTTTACTCTAAGTGGGGCCATACAAAATCTACATGAATAGGTTTTGATAAATTTTGCTACCCCTTCTCTTGAGAGAATGTATACAAATAGAGCAGTACTTCTCAAATGGGTTAATCACTGGAAACCAGGAAGCCGTTTTTTCCCATGACATTTGTTTAGTGTGGCTCTTAACTCAAAATCTGAGATTCGAGGTGTAATCCTTAAGGGTGAATAGTCCCTCAACTCGTATGGTATCTTTTGCTGTTTGCTGACTGGATAAGCACAATAATCAAGTTTCCAGCGTGAATAGCTCCAGCAAATGAATCTTAAAATTGTTTTCCTAGAGTCTGAGTGTGTGTGTGTGTGCGTGTGTGTGCTTAAACCAGATTGCCTAAATACTTAGGGAAAGTGAATGCAATGCGTGTGAACAAGGCCACCTTGAAATTATTTAAAGATTCTAATGAATACTTGTGGAAAACATATTTTAATAGTATTTGCCCAACACTAATAAGTCCTTTCAATCAAGTCCTGTGATTTATTCTACGGACAAAACTCCCTGAATAAGGACAGCTAGCTCTCCTTTAGTGGTAGCGGAATTTGCAATTCAGCCTGTGTCTATTCCTCATTCTAGCCCCACACCCACTCTAGACACAGAACTGTTCACTACCCACTTGTCTGCATCGGGTGAAATCTGAAATGTTATGCACACACAAGAGCTCTGAGCGATGTCGCTTTCTCTTTTCTTTCCTGCTGCTAAGATAAAACACAGCAAACTGCGAGAAAATCCCTTCAGAAACGGAAGCACTTAAGATTTCTAAACCAGGTGTAACCCTCCAGGCCGATCTTCGACGCAGGGCTTGGCGGTTTGCCTCTGAACTGAAGTTGAAGATAGAAATTAGTAATACAATTTTCAGTGCCTGGACATGACGTCTTCTTGCAGTAAGTGGAAAAACCACTAGAGGTGAATATCTGATAATCTCTCGCCCTCAGCCCCAGCAAATTAAATGCTGAAGTCAAACAGCAACGTGTGGAGAAAGCCCTGCCCTTAACTGTACCTATTTCATTGAAGCAATCGGGGGCTATTTTCGTTCGTGTACCCTCTTTCCCCGGTACCTGGCGAAATGCATAGGTTTTCTTTCTCGAGTTAAAAAGGTTTATTGTTCCTCATGTGCTCACTGAATAAAGACCGAGGTCCCTCCTGCCAATTTGGTGGCGTTTGCAAATCTCCAGCCTCCTTGCTGCCTTTAGGAGAAAAAAGAAAGCCAGATGGCATCGTTACAGGTGCTGTAGGTCTTTCCCTTGTAAAATGAGATCGGGCTGCAGAGCCGGAAGCCAGAACAAGAAATCTACAGGGCAGGAGAACGGGGGCTTCATGCCCACAATTAGCAGAACCAGACCTGATCGTCCTACGTCGGGCGGGGGGAGTTTTGCTAGGCTCTGGCGGTACGTGTAAGCGCTTCGCTTTTCCAGGATGTTTTTTCCTGGGTCTGGGAGTTAGCGAAAACTGACCCTGTACTAACGCAGAGAAGCTCCCGCTGGGTAGAGTGAAAGAGACGAAATCACCACTGCCGGTCGCCTGCAATCCTGATCCCACCATTCCCACGGGCAGGCTGCGCTCCCAGCAGAGACTGTGCGCTGCAAAGGAAGCGCCTCCGCGAGAGGAGTTGTAACCACCACCAGCACCTCCTCGCCTGTCTCTTACGCACTCGCACCTTCTCCCCCACTGCACTTATAAAGGGGAATCAGCTGGCCCTGGCTAATGGGCAGGAACCGGGCAGATCCCTTTCTCCGGGCGAGTTTGCCCAGAGGAGAAGAAAAAGGGAAAGTTCGTGTAAAAAAAACCTACCCCCGCCCCCAAGTCTGGACCGAGCAGACTGGAGCAGTCCTGAAGTGCATGCTCGGGGATGGTGGGTTTAGGCTAAACCCGTGGCGGGAGGTCGGAGGAGAGCCACGCAGGCTGCCGGGCTGGGCACAGCGGGGATCGCACGCACGGCTTCCCCCCACCCTGGCTCTCCCCTTCAGTGAGCGACATGCCCTGTGCGTGCGCGTGTGCCTACGGGAGGGAGGGAGAGAGGGAGCCAGGCGCAGGCGCACCGCCCGCCCGTCTGCAGCCCGGGCGCTCTCAGTGCAGATCCCGGGGAGTTGATGGCAGGAGCGCGGTGCAGCCCCCCGGCGGAGAGCGGTGCGCGGCGGAGCCCTGAGCCCAAAATGTGTGGGGAGGAAGACAGCGGCTGCAGCAGCTCCGGGAGCCCGAGGGACGGGGCCGGGCACCCGCTGGTTACCCAGCTCTCCTGACCTGCATACCCCCTCCCCACACATCGCTCCCCCAAAGAATGTCAGCCAAGTCCAAGGGGACCCCCGCCTCCTCCTCGCCACCCGAGGGGCCGCCCGCAGCCTCCAAAGCCAAGGTGAAGGAACAGATCAAGATCATCGTGGAGGATCTGGAATTAGTCCTGGGGGACCTGAAAGACGTGGCCAAGGAACTCAAGGAGGTGAGCGGCAGCTGGGGTGTGCGCTGCACCGGAGAGGCGTGGGGCCAGCCCCCCCTTTCCGATAGGGAGGACGGACTTGCCGACTCTTTCGGAGCCGGAGGGCGCCCCGCGAGCAGCGCACGGGGCTGGGCACAGGCTGGGTACACTTTTGTCTTTGCCAAGGGGAAATCAACTAGTGTCTCGTCCCTGCGCGCGAGGGTGCCGCAAGCCGGGCAGCCCCCGGTGGAGGTGGCTGGCTCGGTGTGTCCCAGGCCGTGGATCCCCGGGCTCTCCAGAGTGCGGTGGAGACGGGAAGGCGCGGAAAAGGCGCGGTTGTTTTTGTGAATGATGAATTCAAGGGAAATCTCTGTCTGGAGTGGGGTTCGCCACCCAGCAGGGGCTGAGAGCGGGGCTCTTAGGCACTTGCGTCCAGGGGTCTCCATCACACCCCCTGCCGCGCTCACCGGTTTTCTCTATGTTTCTGGGGAGGGCGGATTATGACTCTCCAGCGCTTTAAAGCAAAGGGGTCTGTAGGTATTTCCAGCCCTCCCCGCCGCCTCCATCCCTGGGGATTCAGATTTACCTTTAGCTATTCTGCGAGGGAGAGGCTTGTGTCCGTCTCTGAGCTGACGTGCCACTTACGCCCTGGCTCCCGGCGTGGTGGTGGTTGTGCGTGGCTGTGGCGGATGCTATGTTCAGGAGATGGGGAGGACTGTTGAACTTATTACAGCTCCTGCCTTGGGGAAGTGGCCTTCGCTGCGCCGGGGCAGTGGGCATCTCCGTGGGGGGGAAAGGTTCCCTCTAGCTCCAACGTTAATTTTGCAATCGTAACCCTGTATTCATCCCGGAGCTGCCTGACTCTCATTACTCCGGCTTCTGGAAGATGGGGACAGGGAACGGGGGGCTCCCTCAGTTATAAATCTGCTGGAGGCTTTCCCAGTTATTGGGGAAAGGGAAAGGACAAGTCTCTAGCGATCCTGCTAACATTTATAAAGGTCATTGTAGCAAAGTCTGCATTTTCCTTCTCAGACTTGTATCACAATCACGAGATGTACATTAGTCAAAATATCTGTTGTTTTTTAGATATCTGGGAATCCATTGTAATGTTTCTCTGGTCAGGGACAAGTGTCAGCTCCTGTAGGTTAATCTGCAGACAGAATGTAATGACCGCAAAGATGTTCTTAAGTATCAAAATACTGTAGCTAAAATAACGTAACTTGGCTGTCCTTTTCGGAGCTTGCCTCACATCTTGATTTTGTTACACAACTGGTCGGCAGATGGTTGGATTGGATTATGCATTGAAATTCAAGTCCAAAGTTTGTGTGCATTGCCTGTAATCCTTTATTTGACATTTGTATTAGGCTGTGTTTTTTTTTTTTGCTCTCAAACATTAGTTTTCTATTTTAACAATATTTTCCAACAAGTTTAGTCAACAGTCTTCAGAGGCAGTTTTTGATTCAGTGGTGTGTTAACATTTAGATTATATAAATATATGTCCTCTAATAACAGATGCAATCACTATATGAGCATGATTGTAATAATCGCAATCCAAGATTTTTCACTCTTTCTAGAAGATGTCTGTAATTTTCCATTGATGTGCTACCTGTTCTCTGTTTTGTATTCTTTGTAGATGTTTTAAAAACAGAAAAATGGTTCTTGTTCTTACTTGAATAGCAGTTCTTCCAACATTTAAAAATGTTGCTAGAATAAATTGGCTTCTGTTGCTGCACTAGTACATGTTGTTCAGAACCTACCTTGTGTTCTGCCCCACGAACGTAAATCATTCTGTACATATAATCAGACTCCTGGCTTTCCTCTAGTAAGCAAACAAGATCTCTGTAGTTGGAGGTCAAGTGTCATCATTTACTATGGCATGTTTCATCTAAGCAGATATGTCTGTTCTGGCTGACTGCATCTTTGAGAGAGAGAACTGGGTTTACCTGTGCCTTATGGGAGGGGGAATGGCTTGTTTGGAACTTCTTTTCCCAGTTAGAAGGGAAACCAAAAGTCTAAAATTCCAGTACTTTTTGGCTGTAACTTGAAAGCTGTGGGCGTGAAAAGGAAGCACTGTTAAAGAGTGGATAGTTTGAGAATATACAAACACCTCTTCTTATAACAATGTTTCTTAATCAGTGCTCCAAAGCTATGCTAAAACCTGTGAATAATAATTCAAGTAACTTTTTTGTAAAGAGCCATCATTATACCACAGTGTACCGACAGATAAGTGTTGCATATGAAATTATCTATAATATCATCTTAAAACATTGGCTTCATAAAAGTTAAATACATCTTGCACTGTAGCTATTTTGAGAAAAGTCTGTGGAAGTTTGCTATGTGACTGCCACATTTATAGTATAGGCTAAATCCACCCAAGAATTCTCAACATATCCTGTAATGTACTTTATTTGAACAGTGAGTAAATTAAGAATCTGGCTTTGCAGAGTCTCTATGTAGGTTGTGTATAGATATTGCTGTGCATTTGGAAGGACTTTGAAGCATCGTGCATTAAATAAAACTCCAGGCAGTTTATTATTGTATATTAAATTATAGACTATCAGACATAAAATGCTGGTTTTATAGGCAGTGAAATGTTGACTGTGAATTAGTAAACAGTTTTCACAATTTCAAAGCATGATAAATATTAAAACCAAGTACATTTTGTTGTGGAACCTGGCAGGGCTATAAACTGTAAGACAAATCTTTTCTTTTTCTATTTGCATTCTAAATCAAATTCACAATGTTCTTTTGGAAATGTTTTGGCTAGCCTCCATTTTTACTGCATGTGTGCCACAGACAGACTCTTTTATATAGTGCTTTTCTTGTGGTGTTAATGTTCCTCTTCATACTGTGCCTCACTCCTGAAAAAGAGATTCATCCTGGTGGTCGGAGAATTTGCCTTCTACTCTACTCTATTTTTGCTTTTATTTTTATTTTTAAGAAAAATTGCACACCATATTGCGATAGGTCAGATCTCTTTTGTACTTTTATGGAAATCTGCAGCTGCTAAATTGACAAACACAGCTTTTGTTTCTGGCTCAAACATTTGTTTAGGATTGGGATCTTTTATGATATAATTTTTTAAATGGTAGCTGTTAGTTGCATGCATAATTAATGCATTGTTGAGTTGAAAGATTCAGTGCTTCAGAAGTGAACGCTCTCAAAATAATGGGTATGGAGAGTGGATGTGATTACTCCTGTATCCTAGAGTTACATTTGGTTGTGCAGTATTCCACTTAAATTAACTTCTCCCATCTGTTCTTTGCCCTACATGTTTCCTACTGGTCACTTCAGTAGCTATGGCCTTGAAGGTCAGAGAAAGAGGAGGACTCCTGTCGCATTCCAAGGTAGCAACAAGTACAATGATAATAATGTCCAATAGTACCGCTTTCTAAATAGCTCTGCATTTACAGAATAATGGTCCTGTATTTAATCAGAACCAAATAGTCTGCAGTTGATCTCTCTCTCTCTCTTTTTAGAAAAGGTTGATTTTAAACATAAAAGTAGGGCCAAAACTATCTGATGTGACCTGTTAGCCTTCTGTATCCTCTACAGATCCTACCATATGACATCTTGAGAGCCCAACTGCTTGAGACAGCTTTACATGTTTATCTGGGTAAGGAACGCATTTGAGAGAGATACTCCAGTGAATTAAGAAACAGGCAAAACCTTGCTTAACTTAATTTATTTCAGTGAAATCCAGACACACAAGTCTTGAAGATATTAAAATTCCTTTCAAAACAGAAGACAAAATTACATCATCTGTTGTAATGGAGTTATTGTGGCTCTGAAGTTAAACTTTATATAATTTACCATGATTTATTGGTAAATTTAGGCTAAGGCAGCCGCAAAAGACTTAGGAGAGTGAAGGAGTGACTGGGAGACTTGTTAGGATGGAATAGTATGAGAGACAGTTCTGAGTTGCAGCTGATGTACGTCTAGTCCTTCCACGGATGCAATTGACTTACTATAAACAGCCATCCTTGTGTTGTTGCTAGAAGAAAAAACTATTATGGGTATGTGTTAATTGCAGCATGTCTTGTACTGGAAGAACATGCTGTTTAAACTGAGCTGTATGGTTTCTGTTTGTTTAATTTTTTTTGGCCTCTTCAGAATATTCACCAACCACCACAAGAATATGCCCTAATGTAGTCCATTTCAAAAGTTGCCCATCCAGAGTACTAGATGTCAGTCTATTTTTAAAGATTTTTAACACTGGTTCTTATTCTGCTGATGGAATTTGTCTATTTTCCTGTGAAGCACTTAGATGTTAAGGTGATGGTACCATAAGAATCCATAAGACAATATGTGCTAACTAAGTTTTTAAACAAGAGGACAAAAATTATCAGGGATTATTTCCTTTCTGTTTGGTACTTGTGGACATAGAATGCATACTGTAGCCCAAATGCTGCATTCTCTGTGAGTTCAGTGGGGAAGGAAGGATTTGTCTTGTATCTGTAATATAGTGTCATTGTTATTTTAAAGGCTCCCCCCTCCTGTGTTGATTGCATTAGGGAAATCTTAAATATTGAATCATTTGGTAAATACTTTTATAGAGATGGAAAAACTCATCAACCAGAACAGATTCCTGAAAGTAATTTGAAAAACATTTGCAGAGCTTTTAATTGGCGAATGGATGTGCTTCAACCTTTTATCAAAAGAAAGCAGCTGTTGTAGCCATTGTCAATGTTCAGTGCAATCCAAAATGGAGGTGTGTGTCTCGCATGAGAAACATAAACCCTAGTGGCCACTGTTTGAACATGGTGGTTCCTTAGATTGGAATTTAGAATATTGTTCAGGTGACTGACTCTCATCAGAAATTATGGTTGTAGGACTGAATCAACCCCTGCCCCCTAAATTCCCTGGAAATCTTGGAAAATCCTAATTCATGCATCAAAAGAAATCCTGTCTTCCCCAGTTCCACCTCCCCCATTCTGAGCCCTCCCAAAGAGCTCTGTGTTTTGGGTAACTAAAGAATGAATAAATAATTCTTTCCACCCCTTTCCACAATGTTCAATTTTAAT